GGCTGCGGGGCAGTCGGGCGGCGGGCGGCGGCCGGAGCGCGGCCGCGATGGCGCAACGCGACGAGAAGGTGCCGGCGGCGGCGGGCGACAGCGAGCCCGGGGCCGGGGCCGGGGCCGGGGCCGGGGCCGGGGCCGGGGCCGGGGCCGGGGCCGCGGCTGAGCAGGGACAGAGCGGGGTCGCCGCGCCCTTCCAGCCCCCCGAGGGCGGCTTCGGCTGGGTGGTGGTCTTCGCCGCCGCCTGGTGCAACGGCTCCATCTTCGGCATCCACAACTCCTTCGGGATCCTCTACATGATGCTGCAGAGCGACCTGGGCGAGGGGAAGGAGGATCCGGCGCTAGAGTTTAAAACAGGTATGGGCTCCGCGGCCCCTTCCCCGGCCGGGCAGTGCGGGCGGGGAGTGCCCGAGCGGAGCGGGGATGCCCGAGCGGAACGGGGAAAGGTGAGGCGGCGCGGCCGGCGCTGCCTGCCGGAGCTGGAAGCTCCTTCTGGGCTGTGTGGAACCTCGATTGCTCCCTGCCCCCTCTATCCTCGTAGCCGTGGCTATATTTATCTCCGACAGCATCATGTGTTTCTAAGCTCCGATGTACTCAATTAAAAGTAATTCGGATGAAAAACACGCCCGTATCTTGTCCTGCCGGTGTGTCTTGGGGTAAAGCAGAGCAGCGCTGGTGAATCAGCTGCTGGGTGTGAGCAGCCCCCTCTAGTTTTCTTTATTATTGTTCTCTTTCGTGAGTTTTCAAGCTTTCTATCTGTGTGCTTCGTTGGCCGGGGGTGGCTCCAGGAGAGCATCTGCCCTGCTGGGACGCTCCCTCCGAGCCGTGTCCATTCAGTGGGACGGCCGGCACAGGGCAGGGCTGGCAGCGCCACCTGCGCGGTCGCTGCGAGGGCAGCGCGGGGTCTCCAGCATCCCTGAAAAGCAAGATCCATGGACCGCACCCAGCTTTGGTAGGACCTACCCAGTTTTGGTAGGACCGACAGGCCTGGCCAGGGTGCAGACTGGGTAGGGTTAATACAGAGAACAGGGTTGTTTCTTGCTGCCACGACCCTGCTGTTGAAGTAGACTTGGCAGAGGGACACCAGCCTGCTGGCGTGGTGGTCTCAGCTGGACACCAGTGTTGGGCAGCCCAGCCTTGTCCCAGGTCCTGCTGTCCCCCCTGGAAGATCACATCCATCCCCGTGATGGACACCCGTGGCCCACCTTGCTCTCATCTGCCAGGTGGAGACGAGCACTTGATACTGAGGGAATGCTGTCCTGACTCTGGCTGGGACGTGGGCAGCAGCCAGGGGTGTGCAGGGGAGAGATGAGTGCCAGGGCTGTGTAAGGACCTTCAAGCCTTGTTTTGGGGACCAGCGTTGCCCACGCTCCCTCCCTCAGCTGGCGCATGGCCGGCGAGTGCAGCGGGGAGCGCGCCAGGATGAAATTCATTACGGGATCCACCACATCTAGAATCCCAAATTAACTCCGTGATACTCTTACCAGGGAAACTATGGGACCATGTAATTACGGGTACTAACGGAGTGCCACAGCGAGCTGCGGACGTGTGGCCGGTTGTAATTAGGGTGATGGATGGGCTGGGAGTGTGTGTGTGTGTGTTGTGTGTGCGCGCATGTGATGCCCAGGAAGCTCATAGTGTAGCTCTCTGTTTCCTGCTGCATGTGATTGTATCTAGAAAGCCTAAGGCAGGGCTCTGAAGGTAAAAGCGGTAACAAAAGAAATTAAATACTGCAAGTTCGGGTGGTTTAAAGGCTTTGTGCCCAAGACAGAGGTTGTAGGAGTCAGCATCTGCCTCTTGCTCCTGCCATCTATTTATTTAAGGCTATGACCGCACAGAGGCCTCCAAAAAGAAAGGCGTGTGGGTGCGCTAGGTGAACCCAGGCTGGGTAATTAAATTGCCTGGGTGACGAATATTTGCCTTTTGGTCTGGGTGTTTAATGAAGAGGCCGCTAATAACCGAGTCGCGGCTCCAAGGCTGCGGTGCCGAGGCTCCGGCGGCGGTGGCGGATCCATCTGCGGCACCTCCGGGGCTGCAGCTGCACTGGCTGGGGCTGAGGGCAGCGGGGTGCAGCCCGGAGCCCCCCTCCAGCCCTTCCTCCCTCGCTCCCACCCCTCCCCGCTCGGCATTGCATAATTTCCCCGCGGCGCTCGTTTGCGTGCAAACATAATCAGGAAAATATCGTAGCTCCTTTCCAAGCGCTAAGTGATACGGCCTTCCTGAAAAGACCGGTGCTGTCTGTTTGTCCTCCGACGTCACTGTGAGCCCGCCAGCTGCAGGCAACAGCCGGACCCCAGGGAGCCCCTCATCCCCACGCCAACAGGGAGCAGGTTGGGAGGATGAGGATCCACTCCCTGCTCCAGCCCCAGCATCCAGCACGGCTGTGGGCATGGCTCAGCCTTTTGTCTCTGCTCTTAAACCTCCTCAGGTCTCAGGGAGGTGGGTTTCTATCAAGCAGAGGGTTTGGAGGCAAAATGGGGAGTAATGCTGTCAGCTGGTCAGGCATCCCTTTAAAAATAGGGTTCTGTTTATGCTAAAGCGGGTGCTAGTCGGCACTAAACAATAGCCGCCCCGGCTATAATTATCAAGGTTTATTTCTTGTTTGCATTGGTCACGTTTTCTTGCGTTTGATCTTGAGAAACGCAGGATCCGTGGAGTTCAGGTCTGGGGTCAGGCTTTGAAAACAAACCCTGTGGCAGCAATGCATCGAATGCATAGGCTCCTCTCTTTAAAGAAATATACTGTGCTGCCTATGTCAACAAGCACGGCGGGCTGGGGCGGGCGGGCTGCTGCGACCACCGCGTGCCCCTTCCCCGCGGGACGCCAGCGCGGGGCCTGCAAGGCAACTCTCTGAGCTTTCGGGTTTGTTTTCTTGCGGGGGGAGTGGAGGAATGCTGAGACCGGAATAAAAAAAAAATAATATACATGTGAGCACTCAGCCAGGAAAAAAAAAAAAAAAATCCAGCTTTGTTGGAGAGGTGTTGAGTGATGCTTGAGGGTGTTTGCTGGGAGATGAGTGGTGACGTTTGCCTCCGGTTGTACAAGGCTCGTTCCGGTGCTGAGGGATCCACGGAGCCGTGGCTGTCCTGGTGCTGATCCCACAGTGAGGGCTGACACTGAGCCAAGGGCCCAGCCCAGCACCTTCATCTTCCTCAGCTCCAAAAGCCCTTTTGAGTGGCAGCACAGTCCTGGTGAGCATTGACAGGGCATGAACCTTCTTTTCTCAGAGTCTGCTCTGCCACTGTTGGATGTGCCCCAAGCTTGGGAGGGGGGACAACAAGGTGGCCTTGTCCCCCACCAGGGCTGTGCCACCCAAAGGTCCCAGAGAGTGCTCCAGCTACCTGGGCAGAGCAAGGAGAGTGACATTTCTTGGTGCATCTTGTTCCTCCAAACACATCCTTTGTGCCGTACACGAGGTCTGAAAAGCCCTGGTGGGACAGCCTGCAGAGGCACACAGATTTTGTTGGTTTGGTTTTTTTTTTTAATGGTCTATTTATCTTTTTCTTCTCCCCTCCTCTGCTTTGTGTCAATATCCCAGGTATAGATTAACTCTCTTCACTTAATATTTAATGTTTTGGTGCCTGGAAATGGAACTGAAAGCATTTGGAGAGATGGCCTGAGGAGCTGGTCTGGTTTGGCTGCAGCTCCTCTGAGTGCATCTCTGTGTCCATCAGCATCCCCTGATCTGTGTGCAAAAACTTGGGGAACAGCTTCCCCCCTTTAGCCCAGCTCCAGACAGGGAGCAGAGGCTGCTGGAGCTCCCTGTGCTTAGGGAAGCTGGAAAGGTGCACGGACTTGAGTCACCAGATCCTGAGCCAGGCTGATGTCACCTTTATTCCTCAATTCCCATCCGTTTTGCTGGGGAATTTCTTTGTGCTGATTTCACATCCTTAGGACAGGTGAGCACAGCTGGAAAAGGCTGTTTTTACTCCAGCATTGTAACGAAGGCTTGGTAAGTAAGAGCAAGGGGGTTTTTTGGAGAAAACAAAGCATTCAGTGCTAGCAGTCATACAAAAGAGGGGGAGGAGAAGCCCTGCACTCCTGTCTGGGCTGAAGAAGATTCTGTGGGTGGGTGAGTGTGGCTGGAGCTTTAGGAGCTGGGAAGAGAAATCCCAAGGTGAGGGTAAATACAGAGTGCTTTGTGTTGGAAGGGACCTTAAAAATCACCACATTCACCATGGCAGGGACACCTCCCACTGTCCCAGGTTGCTCCAAGCCCCGATGTCCAACCTGGCCTTGGGCACTTACAGGGATCCAGGGCAGCCACAGCTGCTCTGGGCACCTGTGCCAGGGCCTGCCCACCCTCACAGGGAACAATTCCTAATTCCCAATATCCCATCTGACCTTGCCCTCTGGCAGTGGGAAGCCATTCCCCCTTGTCCTCTCCCTGCCCAGCTCTCTTGAAGCCCCTTCAGAGCAGGGGGAGAATCTCCTCCCTCAACCTGTTGGCCACGTTGCTTTGATTGCAGGAGGTAATTCTTGGACATGATCCCAGCTAAATTGGGGTGATGGGGTCATTGTCCATTGCTGGCCTTTCGGAGGCTCCCATCTCCTGAAGGTGACACTGTGGTCGTCATCCTCTTACCCAAATCTGCAGGATTTGGAGCTTTTACTGATTACCAGGGTGCTGTGCTGATGCTGTTTCACTGTTTTATTGTCCAAGGGTGCTGTGGGCCTGAGCATTCCTGGGGCCTTTCCCATGTCCATCCGGGCTCCCAACCCTCCTCTAACCCCACGGAGGGACGCACTGACATGAACAATATTTATGTAGCCCAGATGGGAATGTAAATCCAGCAAGAAGATATTAAAGAAGATGTTTTTATTACCTTGCCCTGCAAGCTGGAGAGTACAAAGGGCAGCACAGAGCCTTCCCAGATACACTGGGGGTTTCCCATGGTGGGATGCCAACGTGCCAGCACCAGGCTCTGCCCTGGCCTCTGTTTTGGGAGCTGGAGTTTGTGACTACAGGGAAACGGGGGAGTTTCAGAGGAACTGGGGTTTTGCCTGAGCTGATTGCAAGGTGCCGTGTGAGATAAAGCAGCCTGAAAAGCAAACAAAGCCCAGTCATGTTGTTAAACCTGGTTCTTGGGGCTGTCGGGAGCGATTAAGGTTATTAGGAGGCCGGAGTGCTGTTTCTAAGGGAGGTTCTTGTTTTTCAAGACTGCAGGGGCCCTCTCAGCCAGCACATTTGCCATTTTAGTGGTTTTTAATTTACTTCTAAGTGTCCTCCACCAGGCAGCCAAGAAGATGTAAGGTTGTATTTCCTGGTGGCTATTGTCCTTGAGCAGTGGCAGCTCCTGTGGCTTATGAAGTGAGACATAGAGTTGTGCAGTTGGCTTGGAGTTTTTTGGTCCTTT